ATTATTATTATTATACGAACAAACCGGCCAATCTTCATCGGTTGGTGTTCCCAGCACACTGTATATTTTGAGAAGCTGGTCAATGTCAGTTTCACCACGAAATATTGGCACCTTAAATTTTAATGATGAACAGAGAAACCGAAAAACAATAAATAAACCAATGAAAAGAGTATGTTTGTGCGTATGATAATCTTGCTGGTAAAAACTGATAATGTTCGGAACAGTGATATAAAACATACACACAAACACACATACATACATACATATGTACATACATACAAACACAAATACATGCGTATACACATACATACACATATACATACATACATGCATATATATACATACACACATACATACATGCATACATACATACGTACACACATACATACATACATACACACCTACACATAAATACATACTTACATACACACCTCATTTGGAAGAAATGTTAGTTGTAATTGATCCAAGTATTCCAACCATAAATACACACATACATACATACAAGCACACGCGCACATACATTACACACGCATAAGCCAAGGATATCTCGAAATGGTCAAAGTTATGCAATGAGTTTTATTTAAAAAGAGCGTCAGGATTTCCAGCAGGCTGACCATCAAGAGATACTGATCAAAACAAATGAAAAAGTTGCCAGAGATTCATTTGGAAGAAATGTTAGTTGCAACTGATCCAAATATTCCAAGCATACATCTGTCCATTGCTTAGAGGAATCATCTTTGTTGAATTTTTGGAAATATTTGAAGAAAAAAAAACAAACCCGTAGTAGTAGTTCGGCTATAATGCAACCAACAGCCCAGATGTCAACACCGACACCGTAGGAACGTGCTCCATATATCAATTCAGGCGCGCGATACCACCTTGTTACCACCTGCATAATTACGCTCATTATAGTGTTTTTACGCTTATTATAGTGTTTGCTAAAAAAGATTTTTTATACTTAGAACTTGAAGGCTGTATGGAAGTATGTTAGTGAGAGAGATCAAAAATTGAGAACAGTAGAGTTTTCAGCTAAATCAGTGCTGAGAAATAACGCGACGATGAAAACAACAGCTAACTTAAGTAAAAATGAAGGCAAAAACGCGCCACTCTTGCCCGTGCAAATCATAAATTTTTGCTTCAAACTCGAAGCAGCCCAATGGTTAATAGTAAGAATAGTTGTTGCTCAACATTTCAACATGTGTATACAACTTGGCTGCATTGTGTCCTTTCTTACAGGTAGGATGGGATGGTAGTTTGCATAATGAGACGACACGAAATAACCTCCAGCATGCATGATTACCACAAATTTTGAACGATGGGGAATGAATAATTGCCGATGACTGGTCATTCACGGAAAATAAAAATTGAACAATGAGCAAATGTCGAGAATGAAGGGCGATGAAATCCATTCCCTCGAGCAGAATCAGAATCACTAAGATTGAAACAGAATGCATCTACCACGACGTCCAAACCGGATTGAAATTTCTATAGATTTAGGTTGAGCATAGAAGATTCATTGGCAAATCCCTCCCTCTCCCCGTCTCTCAAAACTCCGTTTCTGTCTCAAATTCTTTCCCCTAAGCGAAATCACAGCTTTTCTGCAATCAATAACTTCCCCC